AGGATGCATCAGAAGCTGCTGAAGAGCGCGCATTACATCGAGCTGGGCAGCTACCAGTACTGGCCGGTCCTGGTGCCCCGCGGCATCCGCCTCTACACCTACGAGCAGATCCCCGTGTCCCTCAAGGACAACCCGTACATCACCGACGGCTACCGGGCCTACCTGCCCTCCAGGCTGTGTATCAAAAGGTACCGTCTGGCCGCCTCCCACGCGCCGGCAGCCCCTCCTCCCCACTGCCCGGTGTTTGTCTGGTCTTCCCGCTGCTGTCCCTGCCCTTTCCGTGCGCTTCCTTTTCATCTTTCTGCCGTCGCTCCTGCCTGTGACCTTCCCCCTGCGCCGCGGGGCTATTTAATCCACCGAATAATAACGATAGTAACAATGACCCTAATTACTGCCTCTGGCGCTTTGCTGTTTACAAAGGGCTTTTACATCTTCTATTCCTTTTGGTGCTCGCTGGATTACATGTTGGACTCACCCCACTGACCATGGTTGAGCCCTGCTTGCCCCTGTGTGTATATCTAAGCCCTATGGAAAGTCAGATGTTTGGGGTCAGATGAATGCCTGTATAATAGGAAACAAGTTGACATGGTTCATTCATCCAGCGGGTACTGTGGAGCCCCTGCTAGGGGTCAGGCACGTCACCAGGTGGTGCAGAGAACAGCAGACCAGGCCCTGGCTCTCATGAGCTGCTAAAGTCCAGCCTGGGTGACACACATTAAAAAGATAATTACACTATTACATAATAGCCATTGTGAACAAGGCTGTGTAGGAAAGGCACTTTATAGCAAAGAGAGCCGGTAACGGGCACCGCCCTCCACTAGAGAACTACAGGAGCCACTCTGAATTTCATCATCCAAACCTTTAACGCCCCGGAAAGCCTGGGCTTAAAAAAAACAAAACTGAAAAATTAGTGTTCTAAGTGTTCGAAGAGCTTTCTGTGAAAATGCACTGTGTGTACTTAAATCGGGACCCCACTCTGAGAGCATTAAAATGCAGATGTTGGCCAGCTCCAGGTCACTGCAGAGACGAACCCCAGTGCTGGAAGGTGCACTGCTGAATTGCTCAAGCAGCACCCACATGTCTGATTCTTGATCTTTCCAGCCCGGTCCTTCCCCAGTGCCTTTGCCTGCCTTGACAGTATTGCTGTGACTCGCAGTCACAAGGTAACAGTCACTGTCTGTCCCTTTTTTACTTTAATGGACGGCGGACAGGACTTCACAAGTTGAATCCTACGTAATCTTTTTCTCCCCAGTGCCTCCTCCTGGGTATAAGGTATTACCCAGGAAATCAGGGCTAAGGCCTGCAGGTAGTGAATTGCCTTAAATATTTCATACCTGCCTAGCAGTGATCCTCTGCATTCTAATATTAGAGTCCAAATCCTATGGATTAAGAAATGAAATCTAGTGCTTTGGATCTTTGGGCTGTTGAGTCAAAAAAAACCCCAAAAACTTGGGTATCCAGATCTACCACTTAACAACTGTGGACCTTGAGGAAAAGTTAACCTCTCTGAGTCTTATTTTCCCCATTTTTAAAAGTGAGGGTGATCTTAGTAGCTGCTTCAGAAAGCAATAAGGATTAAATGAGATTATACACTCGAAACCCTATGCAGGGCCCAAGCACACAACAAATGGGATCATCAAGATCATCGATTTCAAAGCTAAGCAGATGTTGATGATGGAGATGATTTTTTAAAAATATATTTTTATTGATTTCAGAAGGGAAGGGAGAGGGAGAGACAGAAACACTGATGGTGGGAATCATTGATCGGCTGCCTCTTGTACACCCCCTACTGGGGCTGGGACCCACAAACCGGGCCTGTGCCCTGGGTCGAACTGGTCCTCCTGGTTCATAGGTCAGCGCTCTACCATTGAGCCATGCCGGTTGGGCTGATGATTGATTTTGGAACCGAACAGTCTGGGCCTAACTTCTCATAAATTAAGAGAATGTTGTCATTGGGGATATTCTAAGTGCTTTTCCCCCCAGCTTGGTCTTTTCTGGTTTCAGCCTTTACCCTCTTCTTGTTGCTGTCAAGCATGACCAGGATAGATTTTAGATATAAGAAGAGCTATTGTGCCACAACTGTTCTGCCAGTGCTCTGTTAGTTGGAAGGAACCTCCAAGATTGTATCTGTCAGTTCAGTTAGTCCGGTTATACTGAGCGTCACAAAATGAAAAGTTCTGAAGCAACAGGCAGAACGTAGTATAGATTGTCAAGACAGACCTGTAGGTAGATGTGTTCCCTCACATTCCTGCATCCTATCCCCTCTACACACAACAATGTAAGTAGTCTTTACACTTGATGCTTGTACAGGATAAAACCTGAAATTCATGATACATGATTCACTTTATTCTTGATGCTCATTTGATAGTGGGAAGCCCTGCTGTTTGTGTTGTGCAAAGATGGGAAACCCAGAACCATGGTGATTGCTGCAAATTCCGTAGGCTAATTATATGTCAATGTTTACTGATAAGGATTCTGAATCAGTAAAAGCCAAAGGCTTAGTTTAGAAAGATTATTTTGCAAGAGAAATGCAAGAATATTTTATTTTTTTTGTCATGATGTCACCTTTCAATAATCAGGTGAGTTCTATCCACAGCAGAAGAAACACCTCACAAGATTAAGGAAGGAGCTGGAAGGGACTTGCAGCCACATCTAATCCAGCTCCCTTTTTTGTAGATGAAGATACTGAAGCCAGAGAGGTTAAGTGACTTTCTCATGATCACAGAGCTAGTTTGTTGCAGAGGGGGTGAAGGGACAGTAGGCCTTGATGTGTGCTTGGTGTGGTACACCAACCTGTGCTGCAAACCAGTTAGTCAGCAATAGTAACCTCCTGTTGTTCCTAATAAGAACATGCCACCTGGAAACGATGGTTGCAAAACAATCGTTTTGAAAAGTTGTTCCAGCATGCCTGTCTTAAAGGTCTTTCCAGTGGATCCATTTTTATTTATTCTGCTTCTCTCAAACCCATTTAATTTTGCATTTAACAAATACTAAAAAGGTATTTTAAGTTGTGTCTAACCCAGTGGTCGGCAAACTGAGCCCTTGAGTGTGGCTCTTCCACAAAGTACCACATGCAGGCGCACACGTATACTGTGATTGAAACTTCGTGGCCACACTCAAGAGGCCAAAGAGCCGCATGTGGCTCGCGAGCCGCAGTTTGCCGACCACTGGTCTAACGTAATACTTAGGTTTTCAGACACCTATTATTGAACATCAAAGTATGCTAGCTAATATCCAGTTTTAATCTGCACATTTATTTCTGTAGACATTTAGCATCTAATTCGAGCAAGGCACTGTGCTTGGAAAAGTGGTGTCATAACGATGAATGGTGCCAGCCATCAGGGAGTTAATAGGCTCGATGATGAAATGGCATTTATACATAAATAACTCTAACACAAGGAAGAAAATGGTCAATATAATAATACAGGTGAGCATCAATAAATCTCTAAGATCCTAGGATTGGTTGTGGAAAAACTTAAGAGATTAATTAAGCCAAATTATATATCTAATTTAGAAAGGCAAAGATATGGGGTTAAGGGCTTAAAGTAGCAAGTGTTGGATAACCCAGAAAAAAGTGTCCCTGACCTTTAAAATGCTGACAGTGAGCGCGCCACTATGATCCTGAACTTCATGGGCTTTGTTTTGTTTTGTCTTCCAGTTTGTTTATTTTATCTAATGAGACAGTAAATATTTGGAGTCATTTGCTGGGTTTCTTTCTCTTCTTCACACTGGGAATATATGACATGACATCTGTGTTACCTTCAGCAAGTGCATCCAGAGAAGATTTTGTAATTTGTTCTATTTGTCTTTTCTGCTTCCAGGTAAGTCATTTCATAAACACTGTCAGTGGGAAAGAGAACTTTAGTCCGACAAGTCTGGGCAGGCCATCTTACTTCACATCCACCACTTGCTTTAAAAGCCCCTAAAATTGCATATTGGATAACTTACCCACTTTCATAGTATAAGCACCAAAAGCATGTTTTATGAAAGTGTATTTGGATGTTATTATTAGAGTAAATTTGAAATCTAATAATTTTTAAAGATTGGGAACATTTCTTTGTTTCCTTTCATCTTTCCCTTTATAAACATCTCTGCTTTCAGGTTAATACAAGGATAGGAAACTCTGATTGTCCTATTTCTGACTGAAGTAGAATACTAGTGGCTGCTTAACACTTGTTTGAGAAAATTTCTCATCTTTTTCCAATTTATACATCTGTGATTTTTGTACTTGATTCTATACCATCTTAATGTCTTGTTTAGCTGGTATTGACGTTTTCTGTTGCTTTAATGTTAATTTCCTTTGGTCCTTTTATGCTTGCCTGGTTTCAGATACTTCAATTTCTCCCTTCTCTACCTCTTTTATTTGTTAGTTCTTTAGCACTTTCATTTTTCTTCAGAGCTCTATAAGAGTGCCTTTAACGGTTATACTTAATAGTTTTGCAAACAGATCATTCTAAAAAAGAAAACAAATGTGGACAAAATTCCTGTTGACAATTTTTAAATTTTTTAAAAAAAATGCAGACAGTACAGAAGATCCTAAAAATGAAAAGAAAAGGTGTTACCCCACTTTCTCCAAACGTAGGCCAGCATTCCCTGCAGTTAACCGGCTGCTACGTGGTTTGAAAGGTGAATCTGTAAGCCATCTGCTTTGTTATGTATCATCTAATCTCTGGCCTTCATCATTTGACTCCAGGTAAAACTTTAGACTTAAATGACTAAGAAACCCATCAGAAAATTTCCCTTCTCCCCCACCCCCACCATTTTTTTTAGAATCCTAGTTTCTGGAATAAAATTTTAAAGTTCTTTGAGGGTAAGAATACTCTGTGTTTTTGTGTTATTATTATTATTAGAAAATTACTTTTCTTTTTAAGCATTTTTAAAAACATACTCTTTCTCAGGTTTAATTTTTGTCCCAATTGAAACCTGAATATCTCTTAGAATCCATGGCTGTTCTAAAATGAACCAATTTTTTATAAATTTTTAGATATATCTTAACATAGACTGAGGTGCTCTTAATCATCATAAATAAGTAAAACTGGTTTTTACTCTCTTGTTGGTCATACGGATATTATCTACTTTGAGAATCCCATGTTTTCCTCTACCCTTAGGCCTGCCCTTTATCCCTTCACCACCCAGATATAGCTGATGCTGGTCCAGGGAAAACATACTGGTTTTCATATTGACCTAAGAAAAAAAATGCATTGCACAACTATAAAGATGAAATAGTGTTAAAAAACACTGCCGGTAAAAAAAAAAAAAACAAAAACACTCAAAATATTACAGTGATCTGCCGAGGATTACTCAGCATTACAGTAAAACCCTGTTCTCCCAGCTGGCAGTGCAGTGGCTTTTTGTTGCCCACTGTAAAACTTGCTGAAGACAAATGAGTACATCTTCCCTACTTAAAAATATCATTTGCTATTTTTATATTTATGAAATTACATTGATAATGTGTTCACCCAATTTTCCCAAATTCTTAGAATCAGCAGGCAGCATGGTAAGCCATAAATCTGTGTATTAATGTTGATTTACATTTAATTTTTAAAACACATTTTTTTTCTCTTTTCACTTTTACCCATTTTATATACTCAGTGCTTTCCTCTCAGCCAGATGAATAGAGTACCTTCTGAGTAACAAGATGACTTCAGGGGCTCTGAACTACCCCAGAGGTCTTTTGTCTTAGAGAAGAGCAGAATCTGAAAACGTCTTTCCCTGGATTCTGTTCCTTTACAGTCAGTTCAACAAATATTTTCACATGCCTCCTTCCTAAATCCAGGTACTAAGCTAGGCATCGGGAGTACAGTGCTAAACAAAACCAACCTGTCATGGAGGTCGGGTCACTCAGGTAGGAGGGCGGAAGGGAGAGGGAGGCAGGGCATTTACGTAGGAAAAAATAATTTTTGTAAAGGCCCAGAAGCAAGCAACAGCTTAACACTTTCTGGACTTGCAGGCTCTGGTCTTCGTGGTTGGGTCTTAGGAGGATGGAGAAAGATGGGGCTGGAGAGAGAGGCAGGAGCCAGATCCTGAGGTTCGTGGTTATTGTGCCAAGGAGCTTAGGCACAGGATGTCACAATCTAATTATCTGTTTGCCTTGGTGAAATGAGATGTGCCACAGAAGAAAACTGAAACGTACTCTTTTTTCCAGATAACTTTTCTGTCAGTTTTCTAAGGAACTCTAACAGTAACACATCCCTTTTAAAACAGGACATATTAAGTATAGGTTAACTTTTTCAAAAGTTGGTGCTTCCCATGAACACTGTATATTGTACTTTCCCTTTGATACTGTAGTTTTTCCTCTTTCCTCTCTTGTTCACAAAGAAATTAGCTTTATTGTTGTTTTTATTATCACTATAAGATATACTCATGGAGAAATTCAAGCAAACAATAAAGTATATGGAAGAAAGTAAAAATGTCTTGAAATTCCACTTCCCAGAGGTAGCCACATTTGAAATTTGGGTTAAAATTCCTCCTGACATTTGTGTATGCACAGCTGCCTCACACCTGCCACCTGCCTACCTACTCGTCTACCTACTTCCAAGCTATGATCATCTCTGCATGGTTTTGTGTCGGTTAAGATCTTTCCATTTCAATAAGAATATACATCTTGATATTTTCTGGATATACTGTGTTTAATCTCAAGGATCTGACAAAACCATCAAGCTTCTTAGAATTATGTTTCATTGGGTCAATAGACTGACTTGTACTTTAGTAACCATAGCCATAGACCAGTGAAGGTTTTAGACTGGGTGGAGAGGTTGTGGCTAGGAACATTGTTTTGAATATTGATATTGAGGTATTGAGGCCATGGGACTGATTAGGTTTAATGACCAGACTATAGAATAGCAACATGACCATTATAAGCAACCTGAGTAGTTGCTTACAAATGTTTATCCCTTTGACCTGCTTCATATTGTTTATCTGTCCTGTTTTGTCCACCCCCACTGTCACTGGCCTAGTTAGGCTCTTGTCATTGCGCCCCAGGGCTACTCCTGTAGCCTCTTGTCTCAGCCAGTTCCATAAGGTTGCACTTAAGATCTCCAGTATTATCACACCTAGCCTGTAATACTGAAGTTAAAACTCCTTAACCCTTTGAGTGCCAACCAATATCCTAGGAACTGTGCTAAAATTGCCAAGGCATTTTTGCTGATTTTACAGTAGTTTAGGAAAGAAATTATGAATCGCAAGTAAATGAAGTTACATATTCAAAAACTTAAGGAAACCTTTACTACATTTGTTTTCATCTTTGACATATATTGTTTGCTGATTGTATTATAAAATACTAGTAGAAAAAAAATTGAACAAAACATATAATGTTAAAACAAAGCACTCCTGGCACTTTTGGCAAAAGACAGGAGGAGCGTGATCGCGCTCCCCGGCATTCTAGGGGTTAATGTATAGAGCTTACCATAACCATGTCATGAAGGCGGCCACATGATACTCCTTAATGGTTCTTTTTCTCAGTATGCTGCTTCTATATTATAGGTGTGCAGACTTCTATATTATAGGTATATGATGTATTCATTGAAAATATCTGAAAGGACATAAATGTTACCAGTAGTTACCTTTTGGGAATAGATTTGAACAGATGGGATTTTTTTTTTTTTTTACCGCCTACAATTCTATGATCTTTGGCTTTTTTTTAACGACATATATTACTTATATAGTAAATGATTTTTGTAAAGGAAAGTCCTTCATGGATCAAAATAAGCCTCCGTGGATATTTTTGAAACATTTGTAACTTTCCTACTATCGTGCTATTTATTTTAAATGTTTATATTGTCAATTAGCTATCATTGTGAAATTCTTTTGTTATATGTGGTTATCTCCATTTAACCCATGAGGAAACTGAGGCTTAGAGAAATAACAGAGCTCACCTGACACAGAGCTAGCCTCCAAGCTCAGGTGTGTTTCACTGGAAAGCCTGCGCTAGACCTACCACTTCCCTGAACATCATGCAGATGTTGGTTTATTTCTCTTTGTTTCACTTTCACTTGTTTTTGCTTTTTTTCATAGGTCTGTATGCTTTGCTCTGTGGGCTATCATCTTTTTTCCTGCCACCGATCAGAAAAAACCTGTCGAAGATGGATGGCACTAGATTATGCAGGAATTTCTATTGGAATACTGGGCTGCTATGTCTCTGGAGTATTTTACGCATTTTATTGTAATAATGTAAGTAATTTAAAACATTTTTTATTCTACCTTTCTTGTAGGTCTGGAGTTTTCTTGCCATTGTTCCTTTGAAATTCTGAATAAGCACATAATTAACTTATGGAAGAAATGAAAGAGTTTTGTGTAGACCTTTGTCAGAAAACTGCCAACATAGTGGCAGTGTAAAACTTGCAGAGAGAAAAATCATAAATTTGGTTTGAATGTAAGAGTATATATTAATTGTAGCCATTTACATATGAGCCGTTTGCTTTTTATGCCTAGTTTGGAACATAAGCATTAATTAAACTAGAGGCCCAGTGGGGACCCTTAGCCTGGCCTGCACCCTCTAGCAATCCGGAACGCTGCATGCACCAGTGACCATACTTTTCATACAGGTGAAAGGCATCTTGCTGCTGTATGGGTAGCTACATTTTTTTGCCCTGATTATAAAAAGTAGTACATAACATGATCCTTATGAGGCAATAGACCATTTTCCCCATCTTATGGGTGGAAAAACTGAAGCAGAGAGAAGTTAAGTAATTGGCTTTGTCACACAGTTTTAAGTGTCAGAATTAGGGCTGACCACAAAATGTGCAAGCCAGAGTCCATGCATGTCATCGCTGCATCATCCTGTTTTTTCAGTGTTAGAGTAGTCTTGCCAGGTTTTAATTTTTACATCTAAGAGATTGTTCCCAATATATATAGGGTAGGGTCCCTAGGCCTGGCCGGTGATCAGGGCCATCTGTGGGCAACCGGTGGGCGGGGCAATTGGGCCCCCCGCTGGCACCTGCCTTGGCTGGCCTGGCGCTGCCCACTCGCCGGCCCTGCCCCTCGCTGACCGTCATTCCACAGGTCATTCCACTGTTCGGTCGATTTAATATTAGGGTTTTATATAGATAGATATATAAGCAATTAACTTGTTATAAATTGATTTTACTTTAGTAGTCAACCTATTACGTCTGCTCAGCCTTCACAGCTTGTTTGTTTTGCATGAAACTGTTTATGTCCTTGAAAAATGAAAGGGAACCTGCTAACTAGGAGCTTAGCGAGGGCAGCCATGTAGTGTTTGGATTATTTTGCTTAACTTATTCTCTGTTTCTCTGAAACCTGTTTTCTGCTTATCTTTTCGTAAACATATCAGATAATCAAAGCGATTAGTCAGACACTTTTTGTAAATCTCTTCAGAAAAAAACTAGAAGTCCAAAATAGATTGAAGAGAAAGAACTGCTAAAGCTAACACAGTCCATGATCATTTAAAGCAGTGGTTCTCAACCTTCCTAATGCTGCACCCCTTTAATACAGTTAGTTCCTCATGTTGTGGTGACCCCCAATTTCTTTGTTACAAATTGAACACAATTAAAGCATAGTGATTAATCACAAAAACAATATGTAATTATATATGTGTTTTCCGATGGTCTTAGGCGACCCCTGTGAAAGGGTCGTTCGCCCCCCCAAAGGGGTCACAACCTACAAGTTGAGAACCGCTGATTTTAAGGGAAAATCTTCTTCCCTCTGGTATCTAATCTTCCTAAATCTGCCCTTGCTGTAGTGGCTCTTAATCTTTTGGGGAACACAGGCTGCTTTGAGAATAAGTTTGCAAACTATGGATCCTCATCCAGGAGAATGTACATTTGTGCACAAACTAACCAAATAATTTGACATGTGATTTAAGGAAGTGAATAGCCCCACAGAAGTCCTAGGAGTTCAGGTTATGAACTCTGTCCTATGAGATGCTAACTTGTGAGCTTCAAGACCAGGTTTTCAACTACTCATTTAGAGATCTAAATATTCTACAAGCCCTTCAAAACTAATTTATTTTTAAATAAATATTGTTTCATGCCCCCCAGTTTTCTTCCCCCAATACACATACACACACACACACACACACACATCATTTGGATCATCTTTTTTCATTTTCTTCACTGATAGAAGCTGCGTGTGGCCTTTCATACTGGAAACAGCCAAGCCATCCTCTGCTGCCCTCCCACACATCCAGTCAGCCAATAAGACTTCATTTCAAAACTGCCTCCTGAATCTGGTGCTCACCTCTGTCTTCCTTATTCAACAAGAATTTAAGCCCTCATTCACTTGTTGAATCAGTTATTCTAATATCTTCTAGCTCTCTTCCTGTCACCTCATTCTTTCAACATTGGTTGTTAGAGTTTTCTTTCTAATCAGTCAGTTTGAGAAACAATCACGTCGTCCCATTCCTCAAGAACTCTGCTACTCCCCAGTGCCCACATGGTAAAGCCCCAGATACTTAGCCTGACAGTCCACCTGCCTTCCCGCCTCCCTTCTCAAAGTGTCCCTGCTGCTTGCGGCTGCATGTCCTATTTGTTCCTTGAGGGCTTCCTCTTCCCACACGTTGCATGTATTCCACAAGACCCAGCTAAGATGTCACCTCCTCTCTGAAAAGAGTTTTGGCCACTCCAGGTAACATTAATCACTCCCTCCTCTGTGGTTCGACAGCATTCTGGTGATAGCACAGTTACATTACTTATCATTAGATTGTAATCATTTGTTTACAGGTCTGCCCCTCCCATAGTCTATGAGCTCACCCACTGGGTAAGTCCATGTCATAGTCATCTTTATTTCTACAGGACATAAATTGTCCCTAGCATATAATAGGTCAGGGGTGGGGATCGTTTGGCCTTCTGGCCATACAGTACAAGGCCTGCAAAATCATTTGGTCTGGACCTGCCAAGGCATTAGGGGTGAGTTAATTAAATGTTTGACCAAATATAACAGGCTAATTTTTAAGTTGATAATTTTGTATGGCCCTCAAATGATGTTATAAATATCCCAATGGCGATTGACAAAAGAAAGGTTCCCCACTCCTGTAATAGATACTCAGAAAATGCTTTTTATGATAAATGTCACCTCTTAACCAGCTTACCTTGAAATTTGGTTTGTCATTCTGAGAAACCTAAAAGTTGTTTAGTTGTTTAAACCTAAAAATGAAACATGCATTTTTTTTAAAGAAGGAAGGTAATCATGTTCGCAAAGGCAAATACCAAGCCAGTAATTTAAAATGTGTAATGTAGAAGCCATAATTACTTTTTTCCTTCCTTTGGCAGTAACAATTAAAATCTGATTGCCTTTCATTCCAGTATTGGCGGCAGGTGTACCTGATCACAGTGCTTGCTATGATCCTGGCAGTGTTCTTTGCACAGATCCATCCCAGTTACCTCACACAGCAGTGGCAGAGGCTGCGTTCCATCATCTTCTGTTCCGTTTCGGGATATGGAGTAATTCCTACTCTTCACTGGGTTTGGCTCAATGGAGGCATAGGTGCTCCTATTGTACAGGTAGGTTGAGTTTAGACAAATATTTTCCCCATTTTTTGTGTCCTTTCTGTTTTATTCCGTTTGGGTAAAGTAGTATAATCAGGCAAGTGGCTGAGTCTTTGTCATTTGAGTACATATTTCTAGTGACATACTGATGCCATAATTCAAATGCCTACACAAATAAGCATATCTTGCAGGAACAGAGGTCAAATCTAACCACCATTTTTTTCTGAGATGGCTTTCTGTGAAATAATACATTCTGGATTCCCTCTCTATTTTTTCTGAGTGTGTAAGTACCTAAGTCCTTGCCTGAGGAGGATGACTCACGTTTCTAGTTTTGTTAGCTGAGGAGAGGAGAATGCTCATGATAATGCAAGTACAGAAATAGGAGCACTTGGGTGATATGTGTGTGTATGGGTAGAGGAGGAGGAGTTGAGAAGGAATATTTTCTTGGACCTGTTGAATTTGAGGTAACTGTAGGATATAAAAGTGGAGATAGATTATAGAATTTAGGTTAGAGTTTGAGAATAGTGATTAAGATTTGAAAATCATGCCTGACCAGTGTGGGTCAGTGGTTGAGCATTCACCTATGAGCCAGGAGGTCACGGTTCCATTCCTGGTCAGGGCACATGCCCAGGCTGTGGGCTCAGTCCCCAGTAGGGGGTGTGCAGGAAGCATCCGATCAATGATTCTCTCTCATCATTGATGTTTCTATCTCTCTCTCCCTCTCCCTTCCTCTTTGAAATCAATAAAAATATTTTTTTAAAAAAAGATTTGAAAATCATTATTGTATTGGTAGCTGGAGTCATGGAAGCATATTTCACCAACCAAGGAAAGTATATTGAGAAATAGAAGCTGTTAGAGTTAGGTATTATAGGAGCACAGTTGGAGTGCATTAGGAAGAACCTCAGTAAGAACTCCTGTGTATTCTTGAGGATTCAAAATAAGACATTCTTAGAGATCCATATAAAAATGCACTAGAGAGTAAAGCTGAGGATTTTTAACATAAATAAGCATGCCCACAAATGCAGCAGAAATCACTATAATTTTTACAATGGGAACTTTGGAATATGGGAATTGAAATATAGGTTGTATTCAAAAGAATCAGAATTTTTTTTAGAAATGGGAGGACTGATAGTAGGCTTACATACACTTGCATGAAGTTGGCAACACCATGGTGAAAAGCATTTGGGTGTAAAACTGAAAGGAGGTAGTTCTGTGATCTAGTGGATTTGAGTGGTAGGATCTGTGTGGCCAGTTTGCCAACTTGAGAACAAAGGCGATGCTTTCCTCCTCAGACTAGGAAATTGGGAGAAAGATGAGAGTGTAGTGACGAGGAACTTCAGTGATCCTCATATCTGTGAAAACGTTATTTTCTGAGAATTGTGATTTCCTGAAATGAGTAAAGAAAATAGAATAGGGAACCACCACTCTCAATCAGTTCTAACTAGAAATGGATAACTGATTGTTGACATAGAAGTGACCAAAAGTTTGGGATGAGTGACACATCCTTTTAAGCTTATAACAACAAAGAAAGAGTACCTGACCCATTAAGATCATGGGTTTTACAGAACTCAGAAAAAAAAATGGGAATTTCCCGTGTTCAGAAATCTTAAAATAGAAATATGGCTTAGGAAGACAGTGGTTCTCAGATGGGAATCTAACATACTCACAGGCCATTCCAGTGGAGAAGCAAATAGAGACTTCCAGAGAAATCTCCAGTACGCTCTAATTTTAAGAGATGGAAAGAAAAACACTTAACCAAAGATGAAAAGATCCAGAAGGACTAATTCTGGGAGGTAGGGTGGAGTCATGTTCTAGAATGTTGGAGAAATCTTTAGGTTGATTAGTCTGAGGATATAGAATTTAGGGAGGGCAGTGATAATGATCAGATATTTGAAGACAGAAGAAAAGTAGTTTGTCTTTATTCCTTTATTGGGTTCTTGGTAAATTGGGTATATAACCAGATTAGGAACAGTATACTGGTATATTATTGATAGCTGGCTGATAGTCTTAGGGCAAGGAAATGCTGTTTGAGCTGTGAGATGGACTGCTTCATAATAGTATTCAACAGGGCCATGTTCCCGGGATAGTGGAACAGACTTCATTACTCGGCTAAACCTCTTGGGTCTTTCAGCCCAAGTCCCTGGTCCTCCATCTTTTTGCTTATTCATGTGGTAATTCCATCCCACATGCACTCCACCCATATGCCTGTAGATGGATTGTTGATGTAGGACCTTCAACCTTCTTAAAGTTCTGGCTCCTTTAGTACCCTAACCTTTAGGGCACTCTATATTCCACTCTTGTGGACTGCTTTCTGCAGTATTAACAGTGAGGGTTCTGTTATTGGAAACTGCAAAAGCAATTGAGATTTAACAGACTTAAATCTCACCTATAAATTCAGTCTGTAAACTAGATTCCTAATAAATTGGGGTTTTAGCCACAGTGGGACTTCTGTGAACAGTATGTTTTGCTTTTCAGGACTTTGCACCCCGTGTGGTTGTGATGTACGTGATCGCACTTCTTGCTTTCCTGTTCTACATTTCCAAAGTTCCAGAGCGGTACTTTCCAGGTAGGTACTGCTTGTATAGTGACTATATAACTTTATTCTAAATATATTGTTGTTAAGTAAATTTAGATTTACTTTTTCAATATAATTGCTTATGGAATGGCTCTTCTATTCTCAAATGTCATCTAAAACTTGAACTTTCAAAGGGTTTTCACAAATTTTTCCTGTCATCCTCACATTAGGGATTGAATCCAATAGGTGTGGATTCAAGTCCAGGTTACAAGCCCAGATAAGTTTTGGCTGAGTCAAGAATAATATGAAAGCCGTGATGTTTCAGGTTGGGGGGCCAGGACTAGGGAGTAGATAAATTCAAACTGCAGGCTTGTCCTTCCTTTCTCCTGGGCTAAGAATCACTTTCCCAGTGAATTGAAGGCACCGCTGCTCATGTGTGCAAGGGAAGAAGAAAATGAATAAAACGTAGAACCTGCAACTTTCCTCTGTACACTTGGTTTTCACCACTGAGTTTTATAAGAATTGGAACACGAAGAAGAACCTGAGTGTTGTAAACATACATTAGGATTCAGGACCATAATTAGGACATGTCCCTGAATTGGAGACCACCCATCCTCCAAGCAGGGCTGGAATTTTCCTCAGAAAACAGTTCTAGTAAAATACATGTTTGTATAAATTTATTAATCTTTTAAAAAGTGTTTCCTCTTCATCACAGACATGTAGAAAATTAAACCATCAACATCGTCCGGTATTTTTAGGCCTTAAAATATTCAGGACTTCCCAGTTGTCTAGTATAGGACACTTTTAAAAGGTCAAATGTTAAGTAACAACATTCCAGCAAGATGAACTTGACATAAAATGTGCCGCATGTGGCTGAATATTGGTGCAGTATGGATACCTTTGAGCAGTGATGTGCAGACCGTGAAAAGTCTACAGATAAAAGTGATAGTCTCAGATGTTCACAGACACGTGGCTTAAGAACCTTGTCTGGCCATGTGCATTGATGACGAAATGGTGGGTGAATACTGTGAAATCAAAAAAACTTAAACCTTGCCCAACTGGCGTGGCTCAGTGGTTGAGCATTGACCTATGACTCAGGAGGTCACAGTTTGATTCCCAGTCAGAAAAAAAAAAACTTAAACCTAAAAACTTCCTTTCTGCTCAGGTTAAATTTTTAATATATAAACATCACAATGTTTTTAATGAGTCCAAGCATCCCTCAGGTATCCATGGACAGGACTTAGTAGCTCTGCGATACTTGTGTAACAATATAATCAATTTTCTTTTTAATCCCCTATATTCTTGGCTTTTAAAAATGAATTTATAGGTTTCATAAGACTGTCAAGGGATCCATGACACACAAAAAAGGGCAAAAAACCCCTACAGAAATAATTCTATTGACTTACATTTTAAAATCTACATAGTGTACTGGTTCTTTTTCTTGGTAAAGAAAAAAGAAAGAAAAAGGTTAGAGATGTTTACATTACAAGAAAAAGCTATTTAACTCTGGATTTCATTTTATTATTTTTCCAGAAGCTTCCCACATGTTAATTACTTAATCTCCTTGGAATTTAACCTTTGACCACAAAGAGAAATAGTTCTCCTAAGTTGTATATGAACTAACCAACCTTAATTAACCCGTCACTAATTACATTTTGCAGATTATTTCATTAGTGTGATAGCTCAAGATGCTGATATGAGCTTCTCCTTACACAGCTGCTTGAAATAAAAGTGCTCCTAGCAGACTTACAGCCAACCCAGCAGTGCATCTGCTTCATGCCAGCTCACTCCATGATCGGGAGCATCAGCTTCCTTTGCTTCTCTCATGCAGTATCTTTTCTTCATCAGATATAAGGTGATACAAGGGAGATTAAAGGTCAAATACCTGAAATTAACCAAGTTAGACTGTTGAAAACACATTTGGAATAGTATTTCTAAAATTCACCAGTGTACTTTATGAATAAAACCTTAAAATTACTCAAATATGAATTCATCCTTTCTTGAAAAATATTTGGGTCTCAATTAATCTCAAATCAGTTTCTTGGAGCTCTGAGGCTTACCACAGTCTTTTTGCTGTAGAACTATATTTCCAAGGCCAGAGATAAAAATTTATTTGTATTTTAATGTCAAAATATTACAACCAATATTCTTTTCTCTCTACCTTCCTTTCCAGGACAACTAAACTACCTCGGATCGAGCCACCAAATCTGGCATATCCTTGCAGTAGTGATGTTATATTGGTGGCACCAGTCAACAGTGTACGTCATGCAGTACAGACATAGCAAGCCTTGTCCCGACTATGTCTCCCATTTGTGAATTCAAGTATAGCTACCTGGTGTGTTCAGCTGTTAAGCAATATATAATGGGGAGTTGTATACCCCACTATTTCTAAGATTCCCCTTAGTTTTTCCTTTTCCTATTTAATATATCATGAGTAATACCTTCTAAAAATGGAAAAATACATCAGGAGCTGTAATAGTAACTGCTTAACAAGCCCTTAACACTATTTCTTTGCTGCTTGTACAGGAAGTGAAAATTAATTGGCAATGAATGTGAAACCAGTGTCAAAACAGTATTCATTTTACTTACCACCAGCTTAATTTCCTTAGGAAGAGCTCACCTCTGTTATAAAATGGGGTCACCCTGTGTGAATACTTTGATAGACAATATTTACAGATGACCAAGTGCCTCATCAAGGCGAGGGTTGTGACAGCCTATGCTTAACACAAGCTAGGACACTGATCTTGAATCATCACTAGCCTTTGAATACATGGTTTGTGAGAAACTGGCATATGCGACGTTATTTCCTTTAGCCGTGGGTTCTCTTCTCCCTAGGAACATGGGATTTTTTAGTTTGCTGGAACAAAAATTTTAAACCTCTCCTTTAAGTTGAAAGAGGTGTTGAGAACTTGCATTGTCATTTCCCATCAGATAAGAATGGCCTTACAAACAGACTATGTGATCAGGTGACAAACTCTGTGATCTGATAACCAACTAATCAGCCATTGAAGCTTTTTAATTTCAAGTATTAAGTTCATATAATAATTGAACGCTTGCCAGTGGAGTGCAGATATTTAGTTCCAAAATTCCTGCAGAAAAGCTTTCACCTCTGAATGTGCAATCCTAGACTCCCTGATGATTGGGGGAGGTGTAGGGGGAGGTTTCCCAGCTATATGGGTGCTACTTTTAAGGCCATAGAATCTAGATGGCCCGGTCTTGACCCTGAAATGAACCTTAAGCCTTAGAACAAAGTCATGCAGACGCCCCATTTGATGGCAGATTATTCACCTGTGCTCTGGTCTTACTCTGTTTATGCATGTGTTAACATTGTATTGATAACTCAAAGTATTGATACATACTAATATTTGGGCTTGAAACATTAAATGGGCATTTTATGTATATACTTAAAAAGATCTCAATGCCCTATCATACAACACAACTCTCTTGTTCTTTGGTATTTTTCATATGCATAAGTTAAATCCCTTAAAGCAGTCAAAAACGTGGTTAATTGGAATATAAAATAGTACCCAAGTTTCTTAATGGGTTGACATAGCTACTTTAAATATTGGTATATCTTCAGGACCTTGGAATTACTAAATATCAGAAGTGTTGATTAATGATGAAGCTCATTCCCAAAATACGATTTATATATCTGATGCTAGAAATGTTAACTTTAATGTGCCTCAGTTTGTTTTTGTAATATAAATTCCCATACTAGTATCTCAGCAAAAAGAGGCCCCCCCCCCCCCCGCATAGGCCAACGACACACTGTATTTTGGTGGAACACTACTCTTTGAAGATGGCAGTTTTATTGCATAAGGACAAAATATTTTATTGACTTTTTTACAGAGAGGAAGGGAGAGGGAGAGAGAGATAGAAGCATCGATGAGAGAGAAACATCCATCAGCCACTTCCTGCATGCCCCGTAATGGGGGATAGAGTCCACAACCTGGAGTGTGCCCTGACCTGGAATTGAACCAGCAATCTCTTGGTTCATAGGTCGACACTCAACCACTGAGCCACACCGGAGGGGCTCATAAGGCCACAAATTTGATCCATGTGCTAAAACAATAAAAGATTCTGGTATAATGAAAATAGGATACATTTTCCCTATAAAATCCCTTATTAGCTTACATGATATTGCTTTTTTTAAAAAAATGTTTCTTTTGATTTCAGAGAGAGGTAAGGAGAGGGGGAGAGGAATAGAAACATCAGTGATGAGAGAGAATCATCAATTAGCTGCCTTCTGCACACTTCCCACTGGGGACTAAGCCTGCATCCCAGGCATATACCCCGACCATTGAACCTCAACCTCCTGGGTCATAGTTCACCGCTCAATCAATGATCACACCAGCGGCCAGTTGATATTATTTCTTTTAAATAGATATTTTGTCATTTTGGCCAAACAAAATACACTATTTACATTTAAAAATGAAGAAGTCTACTTATTTTAGGTCTGGGACTATTTTTGTTATAAAATCTTCTCAAAAACATATTGAAACCTTAAGTTTTAATTTTTAAAAATATTCCTGATATTTTGTAATAGGGTGTGAATTATTTAGTACTTGTCATCTGAATTAATAAACACAAAGAGCATCATGTGTTTAAGACTTTTTCAAATATAAAAGGTCTGACTATAAGAATTATACCATGTGAACATTTCATCTTTTCATGAAAGTGTTAAATATTGTAAGAAAGCTGATCTTTCTCATTCTTCTCTTTACTATGATGTATTTATTGTAACATAGAAATGAATGAATGTGGATTGCTGTCAACTATAAACACTTCTGTATATCAGCACTTATTGACCACCTACTGTGTGCACATCACTACTGGCAAAATTTTTAAGGCATTGTTAACATTAAAGAATAACTATTTAAAAATTGCCTTCAAATCTGAGCCTTGTAATAATGTATATTTAAGTTATTTTTGTTTTACTGGATTAAAATTTTTAATTTTACCTATGTAAAAGCTCTTTACTGACGGACTTTACATTTTAAAATTATCCATGGATGTTTTAAATTGTCTAGTGATTTATAAGGTTGTAGTTAACTCATTTAAGAGACAATTATCTTTCTATATAAGGCATTTTTAAATAGCAAGATAGTGCTTATCTTCTTTGTTATTCATCTGAGTGCAATTCATAAGCTGCATGGCAAAATATGTATTATGTAAATAAACTGGTTTACTATATATATTAAGTGCTGCTCCTTATTCTTTATAATGCATAACAGTTTCAAAATCATGTTTTAGAACCAGGATTGAAGAGTCAGGGAATATCTATCACACCTTATGATCCCCCACCTGGACAAAGTAACCGATTTTAAGGCCGTGATTGACTGGCACAGAGCTGTACAACTCTCTGTTTGGCAGGTAGGTACCTATCTAGATATACCCTTTGTCCTGTATGAAATGTCAAGGGGCAAAGCCTGCTTTCTGGATGCCTGCCAACTGCTGAGCTGAGTAGGTCCACATCCACCCCAAATCCTCACTTCAGGTCATTCCACCCCTGTTGAACGTGAAGTGTCGGCTCAGCTAGTGGACGAGGGGCAGACGTGTCTTCTGCATGCATTATCACAGTAACTCTGCTTCTATGGAAGAGGCACAGATGCTACTGACATTCTGTACCATACTTCCTGAGTAGGGTAGGGAAATAATGATCCAAAACGGAAACTTACTGTTTTCAGAAGGGAGAAGGGGTAGCGGTAGGGGTCTCGGGTGAAGAGTAAAACTTCCATCTTCTGAGGGCAGGACTGATAGTCACACAGGCTCTAGTCCTGCTCTATAAATCTGGGATCAAAAACACTACAGAACAGAGTTGTAATTTCAATGGTGTCAAGCATCTGAAGCACTTGAACTGCTTTTTAAATGCGCCACAAAACTCAGATGCTCATGCCTTCCATATGACACTTCGCCACATCTCACATAGGATGCTGGAGCCGGACTTCCCTACAAAGGGACTAGCTGTTCCATACAGGCAGCTCTAATTGCGGCATGTATTTGTCTCTGAAGAAGTTAACTATAACTGAACTTGAACAATGGTACAAGTTCTTTTTTAATATAACTTCTAACTTGTGATATTTTGCTCCTTTGTACCACTTATTAAAAAGACACAAAGCCCTTATTTTTCCACATAACTTTAGATAAATGTTACTACTTCAACAACAAAAAAGTCCATTCACAACAAACAAGATACATCTTTCCACAAGCCACCTCTCTAAAGACTCCACACCTACCGTATTTGCCGGCGTATAAGACGACTGGGCGTATAAGACGACCCCCTAACATTTCCACTCAAAATACAGAGTTTGTTATATACTCGCCGTATAAGACTACCCCCTCTTCCGCACACCTTCCACACACCAAATAAAAGGTAAAAGAATATCAGATTTGATTTTAACATTTTAATTTATATTCAAATGCTTATGACATGCAGGAAAACTGTCACAAGGCTGTATGTAATCAAACATATACATAAAACAGTGCAAGTTTATTACCGGTAAACATACAGGTAATTCCAG